CAATGTGACCCTACCTACAGGAAGGAGCCCATCTCTGTAGCACAAAACTCCCCCCACTGTGAGCCAGGATCCATAACACCCATTGCAGACTGGAACCCCTTATTAAGGGGACAGGCTCAGGGGTGGGAGGTAGGATAGGGCTTGGTCTGGCAGGCCTCCTCTAAAGCATCAGAGACAGGCAACCGCCTCGGGTCCCCTCCTGTTGTGGGAACTTTTCTGTCTTCTTAATAAATCCTACTTTAAAAATAAAGTAAAATTAAATTAAATTAAATTTTAAAAGCATCAGAGAGGCTCGACACCCAGGGACTTCAAAAACTGTCATGCAGAGTAAATGTGTCTCTTTAGACTCAGGTTAATGTTTGCCACCTTGGTAGACACAGCACCAAATACACCTAATTTTGGAGTCTGCAGGTATGTACGCATTCTTTTTAATAGAATCCTTGTCAGTTAAACTTACTTTTGTGAGGTGGGTTGCATTTTTGCCTACTTCTCAGGTATCACATATTCTTGGTGTCGTGAGTGAATGGTGTAAAATTTCTTCAGTGAAGTCCATGAGAATTCCAATGGAGGGAACCATCCAGAAAAATCAGGCTGGATGCAAACACAAACTGACAATGATACTATCAAGAGGGACATCATCTGTGTTTTGTTCCCATTTGCCCTCGCCCTGCAGTAGGAGTCTGACGCTGACCCTACAGATGGCCAAGCAGAGGTCTGAGGTCAAGTGGGAGAGACCACTTCAGAAAGCTGCAGTACAGGACCCTAGGTATCCAGTTTCACTCAGAGAGATGGACCGATGTCCTCTGTCCCCTGTTCAGCAAATACCTCGGACACTCTTCCTCAAGAGCTGTGGCCATGACAGAGGCCTCCTCACAGCCTTTCAACAGGATATCTGACTGGGATTATCTAAGGAAACATGGCATGTAACACGAACAGAAAACTCAAGTTTAATGAGACGATGTGACCTCCCTACTTCCACAGCACTTGATTTTACAAGCTAAGATGTCAGAGGTAATTGCTTGTAGACGCTTCTCTGAAGAGCCCATCATCTGAAACTTAAATTTGTTATTAAATTGTTTCTTTTTTTCTCAGCCCAAATAGCTAAGCTTTATAACTACAGTCCAGGCATAAAATTGCATCTGAGTTATTCTCCGATGTGTGACTCTCATACACACTAGTCAGACTTAGGGGAGAGAAGGACATTGGTTCCTTCTACCCATGCACCAGGCTGCACACCCACTCTCCACAGCTTGCCACACTGTCTCCCTGGTGAGGACACTGTTAGTGGTGTCCTATCTAGTCAAGGGTATGAGAACTCCAAGAGTGGTCAGAGGTTGAGAAAGGCAAAACAAGGAACTGAAGTCCCCGTTCCTGTGTGCGTGTGTCCTTGGGTTTGAAATGTGCTTCTTAAATGAATATTAGATCTCCAAAGAGATGGGCTGACTTATTCTTTGTCAAATGCAAAGTCAACATTTTTCCAGTGTTGAGACAGGCTTGGGAGGCCAGTGGGGTCAGTGCTTTGGGTCCTGTGTTCACAGTCCCTGATGTAGGTGCCACCAGGCATAGGAGAAGCACCACTTGCCACACCCACACACCTGTGTCCCATGCCTGGCCCTTGTGCAGAACCCTGCCCCAGCCATAGACCTCAAAGAAAGGTCTGAGGACAGGCTGGGAAGGGCAAGCTTCCAGGTCCCTGCCGGAACACCAGTAGAGAGGACAGGCTGGGAAGGGCAAGCTTCCAGGTCCCTGCCGGAACACCAGTAGAGACCATCTGAAGCACTAAGGCCAGTGAGCTCCCACTGAGAAGGCACGGTTGTGAAATAGAGAGTCTGTGGAATCCCTGAGTTCTGGGCACCCACACTGCTTGGGCATGCAGAGCTGGGTCAGGTGGAGAGAAAGCTTCCAAAGTGGACTGGTGGGGAGTGGCAGCTACTCAGTCTCAGTCTCATGACTCCTCAGCAGTCTCTCAACAAGAGGAAAATGTCATTTACTAACCTTGCTAATACCAAGTAACGCACCAGAGCCCACTGAAAGCAAGCAGTAAGAGGCAAGTCAATCACACTGTTTTTAGAACCACATAAAACCAAGCAATTCAAGGAAAGCCCATTTTCTGTTGAATAAACTGGGATGTGTGTGTGTGTGCATGTGTGTATGTTCATGTGTATGCACGTGTGTGTGCACACGTGCATTTGTACACGCTTTCCATTAACTGAATCTGAGATTTTTTTCATACACATTTTCACCAAGAAAAGTAAAATTAAAATAACATAGCTAACATAGCATAGAAATTAAGGAGAAAAAAAAACAACTCATGAGGACAAAGTAATGATGTAGAACTCTGGTACTTCAGTAGATGAGGTTCAATAAACCGATTATGTTTTCCCAAGATGGCAATGGATGTTTAAGGAGAGAAAAAAATAAATAAGCCATTTACCAAAAAGTCATTCACCTTGAACGGTGTGCTCTGCTTCCCCCACCACCACAGAGAAAGCCCGAGCCAGCAAATTGCTGCTGCTACGTCCAAGGCCTCAGTGGGTTTTTGCTGCAGAGAACACACACAAGGGGCCTCACTCATTGAAGCAATTTCAAATGCTGCTCACTTGCATGGCGTTCACTGTTATGTTTTACAGAAATTTGTAATAGGAAGATATTTCATATCTGTGTTTTAGTGTCTTTAAGCTTTTTTTTCTACTTGAGTAAACTTAAATTTGATGTCACAGTCATTTTTTACCAAAAATATGATAGTTTTTTTTCCATGAACACATTTTCCTAGGCCCTGCTATTTTCTATTTGGGTTAAAATGAGAAGGAAGCTCCTTCTGGTTGAGTCAGGATGAGGCTCAGGCTTGGGGGTCCTGGGAGTCAGCCATGTCACCACCACCAGCTCCCTGCTGTTGCCCGTGGAGCTGGCACTCCCTGCCAGAAGAGTGGCCCGAGGGTCCTGAGAGCCAGTTCCAGCAGGTGTGCATCCTGAGCCCCACTCTCCAAGACTGGCCTTGAGGTCCAGCATGGGTGCCGCGAGCCGACCCCTCCAAGCAGCCCTTGCACACCACAACCCCCCATGATGCCTTAATACTCTAAACAAACCATGATCAGGAAAAATCCTTGACAACAGGTAACCATCAGTTACGGGTAAAGCCACATGTCCATGCCGGAGAAGGCTTTAAGCCAGGTGTCTATGTAGATCGCAGGCCAAGCAGTTCTGTCACCATGCAAAGGCCAGGCTTCACAGAGACAATCATGCTGCTCCCCATCCTCAGAGAACGAAACAAGTAAAGTCACGCCCTGCTTAGCAACGGGGATGCATTCTGAGAAACACGTCCTTAAGAAATGTCTCCACTGTGCAAACGTTACAGTGTACTTAGACAAACTTAGATGGTATGTATATTTTTATGTATATATATTTTCCATGTGGAAAACCAAATGTCCCAGCACCATCACTGAACTTCAGGCATCCCCTCTGCCCCTTGATCTCAATGCCAAGATCAGACTTCTGCACATCCCCCCTCATACCTGTGGGGTCACTCTTGCCCGCAAGGCCACTGTGGGTACAAACACCCTGGGACTGTATGCAGGGATTTCTTTATCACGCCAGTAGGAGAATTCTTGGGTCTAAAGGACATAACAAAATTCTATCCTTGTCATCTGAAAAGTAACTCACATCTGTTCACCTGGTATCACACTGCACTATGAAATCTTATCCCACACCTGCCCGAGGGTGGGCTAAGCCCCTGCTCCTCAGTGGTTGTCGTTTTGATTTGTTCCAGGAACTATTGAAGCTGCCACTAGATAGTGCAGAACATCATCTCACGAGCATTTTAGTCTGTGCAGTCTTTTATTATCTAAATAAAAGAAGGCAAATCTCTTTCTGAGAACGACTCTATTTGTATTTGAAACTTCGCCGTGTTTTGCTGAGTCAAACTCTTCTTAACGTGGGAGGCTTCCCAGTCTTTGGCTCTAAGCACACTAGTTACCTCCGAATCTGATTCTCAAGTCAGGAAAATTGTTAGTGTAAAATCACCACCACAAACCACTGAGACCTACACAGGTGTTGCAGTACACAGCCCACTTGCTAAAAAAGAGAAATAAGAAAAGAATTGAGAGAACCAATAATAAACTTTGGCAAGAATAATTTGAGAAGACTTTGGAAACAAGCTGTAAAACACTTGAATAAATTCGTTTTGTGATAGACATTCTAAGAAAAGAGAATATTAAAAAGTGACCCCAAGCCGGGCTCAGTGGCTCAGCCTATAATCCCGCAGTTTTTGGAGGCTGAGGTGAGTGGATTGCCTGAGCCCGCGGGTTCGAGACCCACCTGGGCAGTGAGACTTCATCTCTACAATAAATCAAAAAATCAGCCGGGCGTGGTAGCGCATGCTTGTAGTTCCAGCTACTCGGAAGGCTGAGGTGGAAGGATCGCTGGAGCCCAGCAGGTCGAGGCTGCGGTGGCTGGGAGCGGCCACTGCCTCCAGTCTGGGTGACAGAGTGAGACTCCAACTCAAAAAAAAAAAAAGTGACCCTGCTCTTAAAACTTGTAGAACAGGCTGGGCTTGGTGGCGCAACCTGCAATCCCAGCACTTTGGGAGGCCGAGGCCAGTGGTTTGCCTGAGCCTGCAGGTTCAAGACCAGCCCAGGCAACTTGGTGAGACCTCGTCTTAACCATAAATCAAAAAATTAGCCAGGTGTGGTAGCGTGCGCCTGTAGTTCCGACTCCTTGGAAGGCTGAGGCAGAAGGATCACCTGAGCCCAGCAGGTCGATGGTGGCCATGAGCGTGCCACTGCACCACAGCACCACAGCATGGGCAAGGGAGCGACACTCCAACTCAAAAAAAAAATAAAACAAAACTTGTAGAACTTACTTTTTTCTTTATATGCTGTGAATAAACATTGCAAACATAAGCTTTGGAGATTTTAAATATAATAATGCCTTATCAATTAACATAAGCCTGCATGCACGCATCTTGGTGCTGGCTGCCCAGCCTTGGGGGCTCCCACACTTACCTTTGCAGTTTCCCCGATAGGCAATCTCCAGCTGGGGGTCCTTGCACTTGGCGCGCTGGAACTCGCAGCGGGAAAGGAAGGTCCTCCCGTCGGATGCACAGAGAGGTTTCTGCGGAGAGCCGGCGCAGTCCAGGCTACAGTCTTTGTCTTTGTCTTGATCGACTCTCAAAAACTTGGGGGAGGGAAAAAGAAGCCAGACACAGTTAAGGAAAGGTTCTGGAGAGCAGTAGAAAGCAGGGGCTGTCTAGGGCCACAGAATGGGCAGGGCGCAAGAGCGCACAGGCCAACACTGCTCAGTGTTCACCACCGCCAGAGACATTACATGAAGCTCGTTGGAAATCCTCAGCCATCGTGAAGCTCATCGGAAATCCTCAGCCATCGACCGTTTCAGAAACCTTGACAGTTCAGGAATTCTCAGAGCTGCCACAAAATGGATGGCTGCTACAAAATGACATGTGAAGCCACTCATCCCTGGGGGGTGTACACCTGTTCTGCTTTCCTTGCTAATCTGAGCACCCGTGTGTGTCTTCTAGCTTGTCAGTTTACATGTGATATACTTTGCTGTGCCGGTTTTTTGGATGCAATGAGTGTCAGAACATCCACTGCTCAGGACTGCCTGGTAATCCTTCCTGGTTTAAGTGGTGCCATGCAATTTCATCTACACTCTTGGAATCCTTCTGTGAATACTCATTTGTACTAGGTTTTTCTTTACCGAATAAATGCTTATTGAATAAATGAGTGAACCCTGCCCCAGAGGAAGTTGCGTATTCCTCAGAAAATGTCCAGCCCTCGCATTCCCAGCCTTTGTCTGCAGCATTAGCGCAGCAGGCAGGGCTCCATCTCACCCAGGCCATGGAGATGGCTTCACAGACCACCTGCATACCACGGTTCCACCAACTGCCCCGGTTCCAAGTCTTGCCTACTCTTGACATCCTGACACATGCTTCAGACTTCACCACCACTCCCAGAAAAGACCCAGATATGGACACCACCCCCTGTGACTGCTCTCCTGGGACATTGGGTAGACATTCACTTACTGACTGTCCAGTCCCACTCTGCCTCTCCAGACAACAGTCCTGTCCAGGCCCACAGCAGGCTGGACAGGAGCGCAAACATGAAGGCGAATCTCTAAAGCACTCCTGGGAAGGAAGCTCCACTGGACCAGTGGGATTACCAGAGCCTCCAGTCACAGGAATATCACTTGCCCCCAATTGTGTTTCTTCTAATCTACGGGACACTCGCAATCCAATAAAGAAGAGGAAAAAAACCCAGCAAGCGCAGAGCTGTGGTTATTCTTGAGTATCAGTGGAGATACTAGGCGCACTGGGCGCGGCGGTTTGGCCTTGTTCCCTGGTAACACGGAGGTGAAGAGATCCCTGAACAAATGACCATCGCTTCTCCTTGCCTGAGGAGGGGACTGGAACTGGGATCAGCAAAAGCTCAGGGACCCTCATCAGTGTGTTCCCTTAGCAGGAAGAGAGAGCAAATGAATATCAGACTTAGGAGGCTTTGTTCCTTGAAAGCTCACAGGACTTTCCCCCAGGAGTGTGTGTGTCCTGCTTGGCACTATTGGGAGATGTTTTCTCTGGTTAATCTGCATGTGACTCCCTGAGTTTCTGGTAACCAGGCGGCTGGTAGGTTACTAACTTGGAGAGGAGGGCTCTGGAGGTGAAACTTGCTTATACACCAGCATCATGCAGGGCAGACAGGACCACTATGGGTCAAGCGTTGGCTCTCTTAAAAATGTCAATCTTGAAGATAAATCTTGACAATTCCTGAAAGCTCTAAAAGTCGACCTTCCATATGACCCCACAATCCCCCTACTGGGAATATACCTTGAAGAACTCAAATCACTCTATAAAAAAGATACCTTCACACATATGTTTATCGCAGCATTGTTCACTGTAGCAAGAACCTGGAACCAACCATGTTGTCCATCAAAAGAGGACTGGATTTTTAAAAATGTGGAATATATACACAATGGAATATTACACAACCATAAAAAAGAGCAAAATCATGGATTTTGTAGCAAACTAGATGGAATTAGAGTTTATAATACTGAGTGATCTCTCACAGAAACAAAGATCTGAGTATCACATGTTCTCACTCATAAGTGGACCTTGAACATCTATTGTAATACTATAAGAAAAGGATTGACAGTGGTGGGAAACTATGGGGGGGCAGGAAGGGGTAGGGAGGTGGGATTAACAGGAGTAAGTATCTGTCTGGGGAAAGGAGGGCACACCTCAACAACAAGGGTATCTGCACTATGAATATTTGTATACCTAACCCTTAACTGAACCCCACAATTTTAAAATAAAATAATGAAATAAAATTAAAATGTCAATCTTGAAGATAAATCTTGGCTCAAGCCTTACAGAAACAAAGGTGACCTCGATAAGCAGAAGTCACAATATGTGACTTTCCTTTGATAAACATGTACTGACTTTAAATAATTTTGCCTGATGTTAGACATAATAATTTTTAAAATTTTACACTGAAAAAAGTTGAATAAATAAATAATAACAATTAGCCAAAAGTCAAAGCCAGAACCAAAGCAGCAGAGGGAACGAAAGATCACATGGGCCAGGGTGCCCTCAGGAGCCCAGGCGGGCCCTGCCCCACCTGAGGGGCAGCGGTTGGCGTGGCAGCAGGCATGGTTGATGAGACGTGAATGTCCGTTCTGGAGCTCTGAAGCTGCCTGTCTGTGGCCATTTTCCAGCTCTCCAGGTGAAGGCTCAAGCCTGGGAGCATGAGCTGCACCCGGGGGGTCTGAGCTTTCCTTTTGGAAGGGAGTTCTTTTTCAAATGTGTACAGTTTCACAAGGCATGCTTGGATTTCTCCTCAGAATAAGTTCACCTGCTAAAGTGAGTTCTGTTTACTTGAACTCAGAGGAAAGTGGTCGCAGATCATGGCCTTTGAAGGGCTTTGGAAAGATGTGCTTTTATCTAAAGTGGGCAGCACAAGTCATAGCTGCATTCCGTTGGAGCCTGCCACTAAGGAGTCTGGACACGCAAGTTTCCTCCATGCATTCTAATTATACAGCACCAGAGGGGAGGCTCAGAGCCAGCAGCTCCCAGGAGATGATGGCGTAGGGTGTCATGCCTTAGAAAGTCCAGTCACCCTCCAGCGTGTTGCTCCTGTCGGATTACATGTGTCCATCTGAATCACCCCTCGCCTCACAAGCACCTGAGGACCTGGACAGTTGTGTTCTCCTGGCACACACCAGGCCCAGAGACACAGAGAGCAAAATGGCACAGAAGAACAACTTTGTTCAGGACGAGTCATGGGTCTCTCAGTGTGGAGCAGAAGCCTACCCTGTGAGCAGCTGTCTTCTATGTTGGGTGAAAAGTCAGGGTAGCCCAAATCCCACTCATCTGCATGCATGAGGGGCATCTCCCCACACCTCCTGACATCCCAGTGAGGGTGCCAAGGACTTAGGCAAGGCAGGGTGATAGCCATCTTCTCCAACTGGAGAGGCAACCCCTGCAGCTTTCAATGAAAATGGCAAAGCCCAGCACCTGGGCACTGGAGTGTGGGCATCATTCTTGGTTACTCGATGGTGTGGAGCCAACAGAGGGAGCATTCTTTCTGAGACATAGGAGAACACACACGGCATGCCCGTGTCCTCTCCTCATTTCTTATAGCAATTAAAACCCAGGGGAGACAATGCATGGAAGAAAATAAGCTTTCGGCTAAGTTGTGGCCATTCACAAACAAAGCCAATGAAAGAAAAATAAATATCCCTATTCTAAAGAACTTGCTATTTTTTAAAAGAAGTTGGTGGAGGGTATTTAAACCAATTCAAGATAAAAGGCCTTTTGCCATATTTGAAATGTAATCAATTGCACCTTCAGCAACTTTATTTTTTAAAAAACTCTCAGAATTACTGGAGTTTCCCGTTTCTTTTCATTTCCACAAAGCAGTGATATTTGCACAGGTGCAAGGAGAGGGCGGGGGGAGGTGGGGCCGTGCACAGAAGGCGTCTTTGTGGACATCAAGGAGCTCCTGCGTCAGAAGGTCGGCAGGTAGACACAATGGATCAAAGTCAGAGCCCACGTCTTTTCTTAATAAATGCATGGATTTAAGCCAGAAGAAAAAATATTTTTTAAAAAATCAAACCATTTAAGAAGCAGTTTACTGCACTCTTCGAATCTTACTCGGTGCTATGAATTAAAGGTCCTTTCTTCCTGCTCGTGATATGGAGTAACACACGGTAGGAGAAAACATGAGGGGAGTTTCTCCCTGAAATGCGTCATCCTGCAGCTCTTAAATCCCCAAAGCAGGCACTTGCGCAAAGACAGGCCATGAACCCTGAAGATGGTGCCCAAGAGGGTCTTCTTGCTCCAAGCAGGGGCAGGTGCACAGCTGAAGGAGCCACACAGACCTGAGCCAGGAGCCAAGGCCAACAGGCAGGTGGAAGAGTGGGTGCAGAGTCAGGCCTGCTCTAAAGCATCCATTTTCCCACAGAAAGCCTGGACCTTCTTGGGTTTCAGAAAACAGGGTCCTGCTCTCAGTAAGAGGGAGCCTAAGTCCAGGTCATGGATGCGAACTTGACTTTTGGAGCCTGTAGCTTGAAGCTTGCATGTTAGGAGAAGCCCAACTTGCCACAGGGTATCCTCACCCCACCCCCAGACAGCCATTTTATTCATTCACTCATTCATTTACTGGAAGTAATTTACACCTCTTTGTGTGTTTTTAAAATACCTAACTTCATTATGTGTGCTGTCCTAGCCTCCTTCATTCCAATCTTTAATTAAGAAGGAAAGTTCATCTTTCTAAGTGAGCTCCAAAGTCAGATCCAGCTTGACTGGAACTTATTCACCTGTTAAGTGACGACTCTGGAAAAGGCAATTGACATGATCCCCGGGAGGTAGGAGTTCAAGGAGGGCCTTGCCCTGGCGGAGCTGAAAGTCTAGAGGGCAGAGATGTAAGTCCACAGTGACCATGTGGTATGAGGCAGACCGTGCTTGCCAGGTAGCTGGGGGAGATGGTAGAGGGGGTCTGATGTAAAAGATGACCCAGGAAAATCAGAGAACACTGGACGGGAAACCCTAGGAGATGAAAACCCAGGAGACACATGAACAGAGGTGACTGTGTCATGGTTGACATGAAGGCATTGGAAGGAAGGCTGTGAGCAGGTCTTGGTGGCAAGTAGTTCACACACCAATGGCGTTCACCCAAGGAACTGGGCGTTCAGGGTTACCAGGCACAGATGAGCTGGTGGACCAACTCCCCATGGAAAGGACCAGTCCAGGCCCTAAACCAAGATCCTTCAGATAAACTAGACTGATACCACGTGACATCCTCAGGGCACCCAGCCACCATCCTGATCCACACTCTCGTGAGGCATCGCTGGTTTCCACAGCAGCAGGCTGAGTCACTGTAGGTTCTGCATTCTTCCATGCTTGCCATCTCTGTTTGCTAATCTGTAAAATGGGGGTAATATACTATCTCCACCTACCTTTGAGGCAGCTGTGAGAATAAGATAAAATAGTGAGGTTCTGCACACATGAAGGAAGATGACAGCGACCCCTGCATGGGGAGGATTTTGCTTCTTGAGGTCAGTGCATCCCTCTGAGGTAGTTGCTCAGGGAAGCTGGAATGCTGTCCACCGTGAAGACAGTGGCATGAGCTCTCATCCACGTGCCCTTCCTTCTTGCTTAACAGGAGAGACTTGTGACACAGGGACACTGGAGCTCTGGCTGTTTAAGACCCCGAGAGACATGGGACAGAGAGAGGGGAAGTGGCAACAGTGCATCCCATCAGCATTCAGTCTCTTCCGGCCTTTCATTCTACTCATTGAATAGCTATAGGCATTTAAAGTCCAAGAGGTTGAATGAGACTCATTTTTGTTTTCATCTGCAGGACCAGATTAAAGCTGTGAACCCAGTCAACAGGCAGAAGATGGCTGTGGGCAGACAGGGCTGTG